AATTGCCACGCCTGCTGCGGCCTGGACGACCGGCGCGGATAGGGGGACCACCCCGTGCGCACCCCCTATGGTATCGAGAAAGTGCCACGCCTGCTACGGCCTGGACGACCGGGGCGGATAGGGGGACCACCCCGCGACCCCCTATGGGTCGAGAAACGCCACGCCTGCTGCGGCCTGGACGACCGGCGCGGATAGGAGGACCACCCCGTGCGCACCCGCTACGGCGTCGAGAAACTGCCACGCCTGCGACGGCCTGGACGACCGGCGCGAAGAAAGGGGGACCACTCCTTGCGCACCCTATGGTGTCGAGAAACTGCCACGCCTGCTACGGTCTGGACGACCGGCGTGGATAGGGGGACCACCCCGTGCGCACCCACTACGGCGTCGAGAAACTGCCAGGCCTGCTACGGCCTGGACGACCGGCGCGGATTGGGGGACCACCCCCTGCGCACCCCCTATGGTGTCAAGAAACTGCCACGCCTGCTACGGCCTGGACGACCCGCGCGGATAGGGGGACCACCCCGTGCGCACCCACTACGGCGTCGAGAAACTGCCACGCCTGCTACGGCCTGGACGACCGGCGCGGATAGGGGGACCACCCCCTGCGCACCCCCTACGGTGTCGAGAAACTGCCACGCCTGCTACGGCCTGGACGACCGGCGCGGATAGGGGGACCACCCCATGCGCACCCACTACGGCGTCGAGAAACTGCCACGCCTGCTACGGCCTGGACGACCGGCGCGGATAGGGGGACCACCCCCTGCGCACCCCCTACGGCGTCGAGAAACTGCCACGCCTGTCGAGAAAGTGCCACGCCTGCTACGGCCTGGACGACCGGCGCGGATAGGGGGACCACCCCGTGCGCACCCCCTATGGTGTCGAGAAACTGCCACGCCTGCTACGGCCTGGACGACAGGCGCGGATAGGGGGACCACCCCCTGCGCACCTCCTATGGTATCGAGAAAGTGTCACGCCTGCTATGCCCTGGACGACCGGCGCGGATAGGGGGACCACCCCGTGCGCACCCCCTATGGTATCGAGAAAGTGCCACGCCTGCTACGGACTGGACGACCGGCGCGGATAGGGGGACCACCCCCTGCGCACCCCCTATGGTGTCGAGAAACTGCCACGCCTGCCGGCGCGGATAGGGGGACCACCCCCTGCGCACCCCCTATGGTGTCGAGAAAGTGCCACGCTTGCTACGGCGTGGACGACCGGCGCGGATAGCTGACCACCCCGTGCGCACCCAGTACGGCGTCGAGAAACTGCCACGCCTGCTGCGGCCTGGACGACCGGCGCGGATAGGGGGACCACCCCCTGCGCACCCCCTATGGTATCGAGAAAGTGCCACGCCTGCTACGGCCTGGACGACCGAGCTGAGCTGTGCTGAGCTGAGCTGTGCTGAGCTGTGCTGAGCAGTGCTGTGCTGTGCTGTGCTGTACTGTGCTGTGCTGTGCTGTGCTGAGCTGTGCTGTGCTGTGCTGAGCTGAGCTGAGCTGAGCTGTGCTGAGCTATGCTGAGCAGTGCTGTGCTGTGCTGTGCTGTGCTGAGCTGAGCTGAGCTGTGCTGAGCTGAGCTGAGCTGAGCTGTGCTGAGCTATGCTGAGCAGTGCTGTGCTGTGCTGTGCGAGAAGGAGAAGGGGAGGGGGGAGTTGTGAGACGCGGGTGCGGCGCGGCAGGGAAGAAAACCAGAACCCCACGAAACATGTGGGGAATTAAATGATTTTGTAAAACTCAAGGTTTCGCCTGGGACATCGTTAGGACAAGCACTTCTCCGCTATAGCTCGGTTCCCCGATGACTCAGGCGAAGCCTTGTCCGTGTATCAACATTCCACAAGCATCAAGGGTTTGCCTGGGACAACGGGGAAACAACTATAAGGGAAGTGTGTGTTTCCGACGATGCCCCAGGCGAAACTCGGATGTTTCAAGATTCCTTCAGATGTTTGTATTTTTCCTTTTTGCCAGAAAATTTATGCGCCTGGAAATTCCAAGACCACTGACTGATCGCTTTTGCACCATGGAATTCCCGGGCCCAGAGAAAGTCCCACGTCTCAAAAAGAATCTGGAGGATCTCTCAGAATTCGGACTTCCGCCTGGGACATCGTCCGAGTAATAAACAACTGTTTGCCTATAGCTGTTGCCCGATGTCTCAGGCGAAACCTGGTCTGCGCATCAAGATCCAACACCAATCCAGGTTTTGCATGGGACATCGGGAAAACAAAAAACAATAAGAGAACAATGTATGTGCTAACGACGTCCAATCGAAACTTTGTTTCATGTGGGAATGTCGTTTATTTTTTGTTGTGTGCGCGTGTGGTTTGCCCGGCATTCTCTGGGCCTGGGGCCCCCAAAACCGCTGATTGATTGCTATTGCGCAGTGGGGGGTTCCAAGAACCGGAGAAAATCGACCCACACCCAAAAGGAACAGGGGGATTTTCAAAATTTGATGTTTCGCATGTGACATTGCCCCGCACATTAGCTATTTCCCCGATGCCTCAGCGAAGCCTGGTCTCTATATCAAATTCGCACAGAACTCAAAATCTCGCCTAGGCCATCAAATTGTAAGCAACACGCGATTTTGCGGATGGCCCCCCAAGCGAAACCTTGAATTTTGAACAACACCTGTTGTTCTTCTTGTTTTGTGCTGAAGTTTTTCTGGGCCCGGGACCCCCCAGACCACTGATGGATTGTTTTCGCAGAGTGGGGATTCCCACACCCTGAGAAAATCCACCCCGCAACAATCTGGAAGATCTTTCAAATTACCTAACAGCGAAGACTGATAGGTTTCTAGTGGTGTCAAAAGAGAGCATCTGATGACTCAGAAGGGAGGTCTGGGCGGCATCCGGACAGCGAGGGCCGGGCTCAGGGCCGGGCTCGTTTTAAGCAAACAGTCACACACTTCGTGCTCTTCGACCTCCCAGAACTCCATTCCCGGGCCACATTTTGAATGCCCGGAGCCAACTGTAGGCCACTTCGTGCTCTTCGACTTCCCAGAACTCCATTCCCGGGCCACATTTTGGATGCCCGGAGCCAACTGTAAGCCATTTCGTGCTCTTGGACTTCCCAGAACACTATTCGTCCACATTTTGAATGCCCGGAGCCACCTGTAGACCACTTCGTGCTCTTCCACTTCCAAGAACTTCACTCCCGGGCCACTTCGTGCTATTCCATGTGGAGATACCGTTATCGAAAGCAGTGTTTCTACTGCTACTACCACTGCTCCCATCACTCCTACTCGTTCACTCCACACACTACAACTACTACTTCACTGTTACCACTACTACCATCACTACTACTTCTACTGCTACTACTACTGTTACTATTACTGCTGCTGGTGTTGCTGCTGCTAGTGTAGCTATTGCTACTGCAACTACTGGCAATGCCACTGCGACTGCCGCTGATGTTGCCACTGCGACTGCCACTGCAAATCCGAATGCGACTGCGAGAACACCAGAATTCTACAACAGCACTCTTACATGAATACCACAGGCAATGTTTCCAGCTATGCTTCTACACATCGCTGTTAGGTTGCTTTGCCGGGATAATCTTAATGTTTCGCCTGAGACATCATCCGGACAACCACTTTTCCGCGATGGTTATTTCCCTTATGCCTCAAGCGAATCCTGGCATTTTAACTAATATCGAACAGCAAACAAAGTTGTGCCCGGGACACGGGGACCAAGCAATAGGGGAAGAACGAATTTTCTGAAGTTTGGAAAGCCATGTAAACTTGTTGTTTGGAAGTGGCTTGACTTTCCCTGGGCCCGGAACCAGACCGCTGATTGATTGATTTTGCGGTGCGGGGATTCCCTGGCCCAGAGAAAGTTCAACCAAAACAAAACAACACGATCTACAGGATGTTTCAAACATGTGCTTTGCGATGCTTCCTGTTTCCAGTCCTCTCTGTTTGATTTTTCTGCGGCAGTTTGATGTTTAAACTTGCGATGCCGAACGTTTACGGTTTCATTTTTAGGCGGGATATGCATGAACATGTATATGTATATGTAAATGTGCATGTGCATGTATATGTATATGTATGATATACATATACATATGTCTATGCTCGGCAGGCATCGAGGGGGGGAAGCTGGAGCATTGAAGCAACATGCAGTCGCAGCGGCGCCCGCGCCCCCTCTCTAGCAGAGAACACCAGGCACGCCAGAACAATCCATGCTCGGCGGGTATCTCGGCGCCAGCCCCACTGATTGCAGCTATACTCTCCAGAAGCGACCTCGCTGACATGCTGTGCGATTGCGGCCCGGAGCCGCCTGCAAACCAGGAGCAGATGTCTCGCGGGGCTTCGGCCCTCCAGGCAATGGCAGCGCCGAAACTTGAAGCACGCCCTAAAGCGCCTGCGAAACTATACTCCTGGCCGCCAGGCCACGTACTTGGCTGAAGTCCCAAATGCTTTATTCCGGAACGCTTGCACGTGCGCTTTCGCTAGCTCTATACAGAGGCCTCTTGGAAACGGTTCGGCAATATGGGCCGAGAAGCGACCAGTCGGACCCCTGCCCTCTAGCACCCGACGCGGGCATGTGGAAAGTGAACAAGTTCCTCGACCTTTGCAGCTGGCCTCTTCGAGGCCGCCAAGGTCGAGGCGGCAGAAACGAAGTCGGGCCCGGTTGCCCCGAGAGGTCCCAAAGGCACAGAAGTCCACATCTATATCACGGACGTTAGATAAACGGGTAAGTGCTCGGGCCCCCGGGAGGCTCCATAGCCAAGACGTGGAGGGATTCTCCGACACCACGGGGGCCCGAGGGGCCCTGCAAAAGGAAAAACACCCAAAATTGAAACGGGCGAAGGAGTTGCCTCGGATAGCCGTCAAAGCGTCTGCGGGGCTTAGGTCACAGATGCCTACTGGGGTCGCGGCGTCGCGTGTCGGCGGAGGCCCATTCGGACGATTGCGAGCTCGAGACATGGATTGGCACGGAGTTGCGATCCACGCGCCCAAGAGCATACCACTGCGTGCCCATCCCCTCGCCAGACGTTGGACTTTGCGAGTCAGTGAGTCGGCGGCAGCACGTTGACAGTGTCGAGCTCGAAGCTAGCGATGCCCTTGATCACGATGCGAAGCGCTCTCGACGAGTTGCCACCGCCGCTGAACCCTTCCAACGTCGCAGGCTTTCCAGACTCGTTCACATATCGAGCTAGATCGCACGGCGGACGGCCCCAACGGCATCCAGGCTTCGCCTTGCGACGTGCTGGATGGCGTCTGGGAGCGAATTCAGCGGCTCCTGGATCCGCCCTCCTTCGGCGCACCTGCGCGCGGCTTGGTCGGTGACCCGCCGCCCCCTCTTCTGCACCTTGTCTTGCGCGCGAGAACTGGCCAGCAGCTCGCGGCCCGCGCCGCCGTGGCGCAGCTGGTGCAGGGTCAGCAGGGGCAGAGGCTGAGGCCCGCTGGCCCTGGCGGCCACCGCGAACTTGGCGTTCCACTCGCTGTCGCTCACGTCGAAGAGGGGGGCCCCCTCCTTGCGGGCGCGGAGCAACCGCCGCGACAGGTCGGGCAGCCGCGGGAACGCAGGGCTGTCTACCACAGCGAGTCGTCGCGCACCCCTGTCTTGCTCGAGACGCCGGCCTCGCGGGGGCGCAGGGTCACGCCCCGGGCCCCCCGCGGCCCCCCGCGAAGGGCCGAGGGCGGCGGCGGGTCGCTGGTCGCCAGCGCGGCGCCTCCGACGGCCGCGGGTGCAGCGCGGAGGCCACCGCCGTGAGCTCCGCGAGCGCCCTCTTGCTCATCGAGACCAGCTGGCGGATGATCTGGCAGCGAGCGGCCCGCGGCAGCGGCAGCCGTGGGCGAGGCGGGGCCAGGCGCCTCCAGCCCCTGGCAGCCCGGGTGGCCCGCGGCAGGCTGCTGCACTTCAAGCCCAGGTGGTGGCCCGAGAAGCTCAGCGCCGCGAACGTCCTCCAGGTGTCGGCGCTCTCCTCGCCTTTCAAGAACTGCTCGTGGAAGTAGACCGCCGGCGCCTCGTCCAGCTGCGGCAGCGTCTCGATCGGCAGCTGCGAGCGTCGGGCCCAAAGGTTGAGGCTGATGGCCCTCCTGGGGTTGTCCCTCCGGGAGGGGCCGACGCCGACTCCTGCTCCGCGAACGGCCGGTCCGCGCTTGGCCTCGGGGTGATGTCTCGACTGTGGCCCCGGCGGCGCTGGAGGCGTCTCGCTGCTCGGCGGTCGCTCTCCACGGCGGGCCGAGGGGGGCGCGACCTCGCGGCGAAAGCGGTTCGCCTCGACGCCGGGGCCTGCCGCGGCCGCCACGCGGCCGCCGCTCCAGGCGCCAGCCCAGGCGACGCCCCCCTCAGCACCCCGCCCGACGAGCAGCTCAGCGGCGCGGCCCGCGACATCGGTGGCGGCTGCGCGGTCAGCCTCGGCAGTCAGCCCGGGGCGGTTCCGCGAAGCTGGGTCGGCGCTGTCGTGCCCCGACGGAACCCAGCGCCGCGCCGCGCCACGGCCGCTGCACAGCGACAGCGCGGCAACCAGTCTGCATATCCTCTGAAGCTGACCCGAGGAAGAGCGGCCCTTGAGCAGGGCCAGCAAAGCGGCCATGGAATCGTTGAGAACGACGTGGGTGGCCCTGAATTTCCCCACACTTGGAAGGCAATATTTCAGGCATCCCCCTGGGGCCCGCCCCTCAAGGATGACCTGGGGCACCTCTCGGTCCCAAGGCTTTGAAAGGGCGCGCTTCCAGACGCCGCCCCAGACCTCCTTCGGGGCGCTCTTGAGCGGGGACTCCGGAGGCTTCGGGGGGATCTTGATGGGGCCCTTCTCGCAGAGGCGCAGAGGCCGATCGCGGCCGATGGGGTCCTGCAGCGGCCCGCCTGGGCCCTCGATCATCGTCTTCTCGTCCGTCTCATTCTCCCGCCGGCCGATGTCTAAGGTTCGGGGGGCACCGGCTTCTCGTCTCTGCCAAACCTCCCCCTCTCGTTGTATGACGACAGCTTGACGGCGACGGAGTGCGACGCGGTCTTCTCGGTGATGCCTACGACCCGCCTAGGCGCGCCCACGCAGGATATCACCTCCGAGATGGGCCACCCAGCGTTCTCCTGAATCATGAGACGACCAGAGACCTACATGCACCATGGTGGCTCTCGCCGGGCAGCCCCCAAAAGACAAAAGGACCTAGACCCCGCCGAACGGATGAACGTGCGCGCGGCCCCCGGGGCGCCCAGGAGCTCTCGTCTGATGAGCCCTTTCGAGGTAGAGTGCGAGATGGCCCGCCGCGAGGTGCCCCCGGGGCAGCGATCCTGGCCCAGGATTTCCTGAATGCCCAGGCGCAGCCTCCAGCGCAACCGAGGGTTCAGGCCGATGATGGCGTCGCTGGCCCCGACCTCCCATCCCAAAATCTGACCGCCCCCCCCCTCCTCCACGTCGCGCGTCGGCAATCCAACGCGATTGCGCTCTCGGCCCGCGGCCCGCGCCACATCGCGCGCGCTTCTCTGATCGGGGCAGAGACGCACGATTGTCAACATGCCCGGTGTGAATGAAATCCTGCATCAGGTCCAGGGCGTGCCGACGATCGACCGAGAGGTTGTGCGTTGAGACCTCTGGGACCCCGGGGCTGATGGCCTCGCCAAAGGTCTGGCCGACCGACAAACTCACGCTCCAACCCATGGGCGGACATCGAAAACATGGAACGACGCGTTGGGATGGGCGGACGGCAACACCGCCAACATCGCTGAGATTGGAGTCGCCTGCTCTGACGGGAGGGGGGCCGAACAACTTTTGCAGCCACGAGAGCAGCGGGATATTGTAGATTGCATCGGCGATGTCCGCGCCTGCCGCCGCAATTGGCGCGCCGCAGCCCACGGTGATCTGACTGCAGGCGCCTGCCGAGGCGAGCTCGACCCCGTCGGCCTCGCAGATGCGCAGGGGCGAGAAGCGGCCGTCCAAGATCACTCTGAGATCGTCATTTTTCTTGTGAACGAAGACAAGCCCCACCGAGCACTCGCACTCCAGCTTGAAACTGATCGCAGTAGAATCTACCAGACGTCGAAGCACTCGGTGGCGCAGCTTGGGCACGCGGAGGCGCGGGTCCACGCGCCGCCGTCGCGGCCCCTCAGTGCGGACGCTTTCCATGCCCAGCTCTCGGGTTAACAACATATATTGCAAAGGGTCGGCAATTTGTCCCACCCGCATCACCGGCGAGCGCCCCCATGTCACGATGAGGCGCAAAGGCGGCAGGCAGCGAGATGCGATCGACGTCGTCGACGCCAACCAGGGCGATGGCCACGGCCTCCCCGCGGTGCGCCTGCGATGCCCGAAGCTCCGTGAGGGCTCCTGGGCCGTCGAGGTCGATGGGCGGCCCTCCGAAGCGACGGGCCGCCTCGCCCAGCTCCGGGTGGACCTCGGCGCGGGCAGCTAGCAGTGGCCGACCGGCTTCGCGACGAGGAGGGTCGCGCGGGCCGTCGCCGCCCAGGCGCATGTCGTTGGGCGTCTCTACCATCGCGTTGACCATGTCACTCCTGTGGCGGCGCCTCGTGAACCGTCGCACAGCTGACCGGGAAATGATCATATCACTCTGAAGGCTCTTGGAGGAGGAAGAAAGGCAAGCTCGGCGGGGGGCCGGGAAGACGTCGCGCTGGCGACCATCCCGGCGAGAAAGAGTACAATCCCAAAGTACATCGCGGGCTCCAGGCGGGGAGACTGGATTCGCCCTCTGCTGCTTCTCGAGCGGGTCGAGGGGGGCCGCGCCCGAAGTCACTCTCATTGACCTGAGAGGGCGCGGCGCTCCTCTCATGCCTTCCGCAGCGACTCGAGGATGCCCGCGCCCTCTCTGCCGTGGCGGACACGTGCGTCAGGCGGTCAGGACACGCCATCATCCTGGCATCGTCCTTCGACGCGCCGGTGAAGACCGAGGCCTCGTCCAGGAACGCGAACTTCGCGAACCCGCGACTCCGCCCACGGCCCTTCTTGTTCTCGTCTCTCTCCGAGGCCTGCGGGGCCGCGTGCCGGGCGCCCTCCGCCTCCATGGCGCGCGCGTACTCGTGCAGCTGGGCCTGCCCCATTGCGATCTCGACCCCGACCAGGTCGGGAAGGTTCACCTGATCCCAGCATGCTAAGATCAATCATTCTCATGATTCTCTCATAGTGGGCGGCGCCGTAATCGCCGTGCGTCAAGTGATACAGATTCTTCAACTGTCCGAAGTGCTCCAGCGGGCCGCCGAGACGACGGTCGACGAACGCGAAGCACCAGGCAGCCGAGCGGGGCCCCTCCAGAGGCCACCCAAGCAGGGGGGTCTGCACGAACTTCTCCACGGCGCCCCGAAACTGCATACGCGTCCTGTGGCCATCGCTCTGCAGCGTCAGGCCCAACAGGCGAGCATCAAGGCCCGCCTCCGCGCCCGCGTGCAACTGCAGGTTCAGCGAGACGCGACGGATCCCGATCCAGCCGTGGTCGGTCCGCATGATCCCGACGTCGCCGCCGAGACGCTCGGTGCCGCTGAGAGCCGCCACCGCCCCGCGAGCCCCCGCGGACGTCGACGGGAAGGTGGGCAGCAGCCCCTCCTGCAGCGACCCCCAGTCCAGGCCCTCGACCATGCCCCGCGCCAACCAGAGCAGCAGCACCTCCAGCCCCGGCACCGCAGCAGCGCCGCCGTCAGCGGCCACGATGGCCCCAGCGCCCGCGTCGGCCAAGCCGAAGTCGAACGCCTCCCACGGGCCGCCAGCAGGGAACGCAGCAGGGCGACCCGCCGCGGTCTCACGCGCCAGGGAAGTCTCGTCCGCCACTTGGGCCACAGCTGCGAGGATAGCCGTTTCCTCCCCAGCAATGAGCCTTCGTCGGCACCCGTGCAGCTGAGCTGCATCCAGGCCGCCGCGGTCGCGTCGAACTCCGACGAACCGCGCGCCCAAAATGTCAGGACTGCCCCGACTGTAGTTCTCTTCGTGCACATCATGGTCGGGCGCGCTACTGTTCATCATCAGATCTCTCTGAAGCCCAGGCAGCGGATCCACCAGCCGGCCCCAAATGCGGCGCTGGTGCCACCGCCGCTCTCCGGCATATAAGACCCACGCCCGCGCGCACGTCCGGCGGCGGCGCGGTCATCCTCCAGAGAAGGAGCTCGCCGACGACGAGACTGGCACAACGTCCTCAGCGTAGCGAGCCCGACCGACACGGCCGCGGCGACCAACTGCAAGGCAGCCAGGGCGAGGTGGGCCGACAGGGTAGCCAACTCCGCAAGCCAGCTCCCGATCGAAGGCCCCTCTCTCGGCCCCACCTCCGGAGCCTCAGGGCGCTGCGGCGGCGTCTCAGCCGCGGGCGCAGCCGATGTCTCTGGCAGGGGGGGCGGGGGCGGTTCCGAGAGCGAGGCGCCCGAGCCGCTGCCAGCGGCCCCGCTGGCCTGCGATGGGGCGATCAACGAAGGGCACTGCAAGCTCGGGCACGTCGGACAGCTCGCCGACGGACGCGAAGGGCAGTTCAGATGTGGACAGCCTGGGCGGGGCGGGCACGGCTGCGATCGCCACCAGTAGGCGGTCAGAAGCTGAGGGATGGTGCCCACAAGTCAAAGCCCGTGGCGGACTCCTGGCATGAGAACACCACGAAAAGCTTGAGCACTGACGCAGCATACGGTCGCAACGGCGCCCTCACCCCCTCTCTCCCAAAGAACACCAGGCACGCCAGAGCAATACATATACATCTCTTTATTTCTTTCTTTTTCTCTCTCTCTCTCTCTCTCTCTCTCTCTCTCTATATATATATATATATATTATTATTATCATACGCACCTCTCCGAGGGAGTAGAGCTCAGAGGCGATTAATGCGTACGCGGGGCGCCGTGTCCGCGATTTGTCTGGCCGTTTCGCTAGGGACATCCTCGAAATTATGAAAACCGGTGGCACCCCTCACGCAGATCGTGACGTCAGGATCCAAAGGCACATGGGAATTTCAACATGTTAACATAACACCTTCAAGAACACATGGTAATTCCAATAAGTTTGACCCCGATTCTCAGAGAATGGCGTTTCGCCTGAAACATCCTCCCAACATCGAGCCCCGACATACCCTCTGGTACCCCAGACCCCGCCTCGGAGCCTCCTGGGAGCCTCCTGGAACCTCCTGGGGCCTCCTGGGGCTTTCTGAACCTTCTGGTACCCCAGACCCCGCCTCGGAGCCTCCTGGGGGTCTCCTGAAACCTCCTGGGGCCTCCTGCGGCCTCCTGGAGCCTCTTGGGGCCTCCTGAAGCCTCCTGGGGTCTCCTGGGGCCTCCTGAGGCCGCCTGGGGCCTCCTGGGGCCTCCTGGGGCCTCAGAACTACATGCGCACACAGAGACACAAATCACGCCCAACACATCACACGCTAGACAAACATAACACACACACACACACACACACACACACACACACACACTCACAACACCTACAACGCATAAAAAGCACGCACAGCACAGAGCACACATCACACACACACACACACACCCACACAACACTCACAATCCTGGGGCCTCCTGGAGCCTCTTCTGGTATCCAAGTCGGGCCTCCTGAAGCTTCCTGGGGGGCCCTGGTACACACATCGCAAGGTGTGGCAACCCCACTTGCGCTCGAGTGCGACTTCGCTGTTGCATTCCACTCCTGCTTCAAACGTCCCTTCAGTTTTTTGTATGAGCCTGGGCACACACGTGCCACTTATCTATATCTATATATATATATATATATATATATAGAGATGTGTGTGTGTCCGTCTGTGCACATTGCGAATTACTGCTGAACTCTTTGTGTTCAGGGTTTTATGTTCCTACCTCTGTGTGGGGGATTTACTGCTCAATCCTCATGTCGAGGCCTCTCTTCTGGCATGGTTTGTGACCAACTCA